GATAGTGTGTGCGCCCCCTAACTCTCGTGCGCACGCGGTTACCCACCCTAAACCCTAAACGCGTTTTTTGTCACCCTTCGCACCTTTTCTGCGCCAGCGCTTGCTAGGGGAGCGTTCTTGTGGCTTAAGCCTCTCTCATTTCTCGCCCCCATTAACATGATCTGTTGATATCTGTTGCACCCTCATTGCCCTCAGTCTCGCGCCCTTCGTCCGCATCTGGTACTGCGCTGGCAACGATCTGATCCTTGGTGCGTCCATTGTTACATTCTCCATCCAGTGCTGGTTGATCCGGAACTTCTGCAGCATTGTGACGAACATCTTGAAGACCACCGCGTCCATCGCCTTGTTCTTGCAACTCTACCACATCCTCTCCAGTCTGCGTGGCCACCGTTCGGCGTATCGGAGATCTAGATCGATCCCTGTTGAACGCATCCCAGATGGACCAGCCATCCCATTCGCACGCCGCTTTGGCAAGTTGCTTCAGGTCGTTGTTCAACTCTTGCCGGATCTGTGTGACTGCCATCACAAAATTGTTTTCCACTGATGACTTCTTCTCCATCTCGCTGTCCGCATCCAACGAGTCGTCAATCTGGACCACAGCGGAAGCAAACAACGACATGCTGGAACCAGGCGCTCATCCAAGATTGCCACTTCGACACCCAAGCGGCTCCGGCCCGCGTTCCCCGCTTCCCCGCCATCAGATCCTGCCGCACGACCATCCGTACAACAACAGCCAGGCACATCGATCATTTCCAAGACTTCTGGCTGCTGATGGTCCAGCTGCGAATATAGCCATGCTTCCAGACGATGACTGGCCGCGGCGCTACTTCCCAGTCTGCCCTGAAATTGCACAAAGGCTTCCTGAATTCTGAAGCATACGAGCAACCCAATATTTGTCATTTCGGTCATAGCCTTATTCTGCAGAGAACCTGGTCATGTAGGACGGGAGTGAGAGCTCCCTCTGCACGAGGTCGAAAGTATCTTGCTCTTCAAAGTGTGGTGACCTGCTATTATGCCGTACTGCTGACCTGATGCTGCTCCAGATTTGTATCCACCATGTAGGAATCGGTCCCTCCTGCCACACCACGGCCTTAGAACGTGGATGCGTTGAGCCATTTCGCGGATGCCTGGGAGCTTGCTGGTTTGTCCTTGTCTCAATGTCGCGAGTATCCTTTTTTTGTCAGCTCACGACTCACGACCAGCCACGAAGCCGCCAGACCCTCCAATCTGCTTCTCGATCAATGTCAGGAAATGATTTAATTGGTCGGTCTTCTCGGGCCACTTCACGGTCAAAGTTTGGACCAGTGAGCCATCTTCTCCATCCTCTTCCTCGGCATGGTGGGCTTCCACCGCTACTTCTTCTTCTCCGTCTTTTTCGGCACGATCTGCATTATCATCATCGTCATCTTCAGGCTCAGCTTGTTCGTTGACACGTTCTTTTGCCGCTCGCGCCCGCAGTTGATTAACACGCCAGGGCGGTGTTCCATGGGGCGTCCATGCTGGTCGCGACGTGGAGGATAGGAAGATTGTTTTGGGATCACTCCAGCTGCAGGAACTGCTTTGGGATGCGCTGCTCTCTGGTGTTGTCCACGTCCCATCTACGTCGCAGAAAGGGTGCTCGCAGCCGTCTCACAGCAGCTCCCCTTCTTCTGAGCGGTATTGGCGGCGCTGGGGACCCTCTGTTCCTTCTCCTTCTCGGCTGCGTTCCTGAACTTGTCGAGGTTCCCAACGTCACGTCTTCTCCACATTCTCCATCAAGCACAGGTACCGGGCAATCTGGCGAGGCTCTGTCCTGTCCATACTGATCACCTCCAACAAGACGCTCAGGTCAAGCATCATGCGCGCGAAGCACTTCATCAGGCACCCCATGGCAAGGCAGGCGGAAGAGCGAGCATTAAAGCAGCTGCGGAGGCTGTGCGTCATCCTTCGCTGTCTCGTCTGGGTTCCTCTCGGCTGTTTGTCGACGAGGAGTTCTTGACCTTCCATCGCGCCCGCGCTTTCCATTGCCACCTCCATTGCCAGGTCGTCGAAGTTCAGGCGGCCCTTTCATCATTAAGGCAAGGATGTCGTGCTCAACTTGTGCTAGAAGAGAACGATCACCTTCGTCACGAAGTCCAACGTCATCAACAGGAACGTCTACAGTCCTCTGGGACGAGCAACCTTGCAGTGGTTGGGGTCGTGGTAGTTGTACCTGATCGTTGCCATCTCGATGAAGAGAGTGATCTGGTCGGAATCGGTCATCCCAATGTCGTAAAAAACACTCGCCATCATCGCGTAGCCCAACAATATTAACAAAAGAACCCACAGTCCTCTGGGGTACCTGGCAACCTCGTAGTGGCCATCGTTGCGGTGCTCACCCCTGATCATTGCCACATCGACGAAGGGATTGATGATGTCGGCGCCGGGCGCAAGGATCACAAGGGTAGAGGTCGCGCTCTGGATTACTCTGGTCCTGTTTTTGATCGTCACCAATCGGTACTGGGCACGCCTTCTCCTCGTGCTGGGGGCTGATTCCATCGAGATCTATAATATCGACAAGGTTTGCACTCACATCAGCGCGGCAGTATGCCTGCAAGACATTGTCTCCAATCATCACATTCATGTAATTGCCCAGGTCACATGCAGCAGCTTGATGGACGGGTGGGGCAGTCACCGGAGTCTGCCAATCATTCTATACGAAATGGACCAAGAAAAGTTCGCACATGACCACAAGAGCCGTCGAGCGCGGGCGGCGCTCCACGCCACAAGCCATGGCCAGCACTATATGGCAAGGCTAGGCTGCAAAAGGCAACTCAAGGCACGCGTAATACATCGTAATACTTTCGCCGAGCCGAGCGGGCTGTCAACCACAGGCTCGCAAGGCGTCATTAGCTCGAGGAACCGCGTTTTGGGTTTAGGGTTCAGGGGACGCTGTAGACTTCCAAGCCGGTGTCACCTTGAACACGTTCATCTTCTGCGAGATTCTTGGGTACTGAAGTCTTATATCATGCTTCTATCATCATCAGCCAGCAGAAGCTTCGACCCTAAATCCGTTACTTATCTCTATTCGAAACAAATCACGACAGTAAGAAGGCGGAGAACCGTAATCTTACCCCGAGCATTGCATTCCACCCCACAGGGCAGAAGTGGGTTGGGGGCTATGTTGCGTTAAACCTTTTCCCGAATGCGTAGCAGAAGGGTTCCCGTTTTAAAGTTGGGGTCCAGGGGTCCAGGAGGCGACGCGAGGTCGTTGCGTTGTGTTCGCAAAGCGTCCGCAAAGCGTTCGCAAGCGTCCGCAAGCGTTCGCGGAGGGTCGGACATGCCGCAGAGCCTACAGAGTCCAAAATCGTCGCGAAACGCAGAACTGTCGTCACTTTTTACGTTTCGCATTACAAAACCTGGACCATCATTTGATACACTTAATTCCGCTCGAGAAAATTTCCGCTCGGAGCTAAAATTTGCGCTCGAGACGGGTAGACTTGATAAAGCATGGGGGGCTAGTGGCACTTCGCACACTTTCTAGATTTGCGCACGTTTGCGCGTTTTTGCGCTCGTTTAGTGGATATATGCGCCCGTTTGGCGGGTAACCGTGCCCAGCACGCCCTGCATTCCACCTCTGATCTCAAGCAGGCATAATTCATACAAAAGCGCGCGATTTGCAGAAAACGTTCGAAACTCTGAATTGCGTAGCGAATAGCCTTTGAGCAGAATTTTGTGTTACAAACGATGGTCCAGGTTGTATTTGCTCCAGCTTCAGTTCATCAAGACCCAGCAGTGGCGGCTGAACGCCAGCAGTAGCTATGAGGCCTTCTTCCTCTGCAGATTCGTGTGCTTCATAGCAACAGATCCCGGCTGCGCTGCCATTCACTCACGAGCAGTTTTCAGAAGATTGAGGCCTGAGCCAAGCCCTCTGTGTGGTCTCGAGGTCTCATTGGCTGTGTCAAGGCTTAGGGCCTAGGGTTTAGGGCTTAGGTTCAGGTAGAAGGGTTTCGGGTACCAGAAGCCCACCCAAACCTAGCCCCCGACACCCTGTCCTACACCTTTCACCCTACAGACACTGGACCATGATCCAGGAATGCAATACCATATGTTATGATATATTATCATATATTACAGTATAATATAAACAATGTATATAAATAATAGTATATTATAATCTAGGAAAATATATCATAGTATATTATAATCCATTATAATATATTATGACATATTACATAATATAATAGATTCTAGTATATTCTGATATATTCTACAGTAGCATATTACAATATATTGTAATATACTCTAATATATTCTAGTATATTACAGTATATCCTGATATATTTGAATATATTTTGGTATATTAGGGTATACTATATTTTACTCGAATATATTCTAGTATACTCTAGGAAGTTATACTGGATTATAGAATATTATATAGTGTTTTATAATAGATTATATTATCTTATAATCTATTATAATGAACTAAAGTATATAGTAGTGTATTAAAACATATTCTAGCATATTCTAGGTATATTCTAGTATATAATAGTAACCAGCAGAGGGGGCTTGAAAACGAAACCTTGCCAATCCACAAGCGACCACATCGAACATCCTAAGCCCTTCGTAAACTGAGTGGCAGTAGGTCTTCTACCTAGACCCCAAAACAACAAATCCCAAACAGCTCCCCTGAATATATACACATCCCAAAATCCCCATGAACCCCATCTAATTTCAGTTTCCACCCTACCCTAAACCCTAAACCCTAGTTCCATGTTCTTGTCCAAACTTCATGGTCTGCAGCCCACTAAGCATTGAAGGTCCTTGTGCCTTCGCTTCTGCTCCCAAGTGTCTGCGTCTCTACTGGGTGCATGGTTGTACGAGGGGGTTTAGGGTTTAGGGTTTAGGGTAGGTAGGCTAGGTAGGCATATCGTGAAAAGCTTGTGTTGCCTACGAGAATAGGTATCCAATCTAAGAGACTTTTGGACATTGCCTGGTCATAACTTGGTTTCCTCCTTAACTAGGAGGGTTGTTGGTGGCACCTGTGTCTTGAGACAAGCCCCCAATTAGTCAGTACACAGACTCTTGAGGTATCGGGCACCGGGACAGCTCAGTACATAGCGCCACCACCATCCGTAATGGCCTCAGACAAGAACTTGGTGTCTGTGGCTAGGTGTATCCCAGCGAGTGAAGCAGCCAGCATCCCTAGTACTTAAGAAGACTGCTCACCACTGGACATTGCCTTGCAATCATGACACGACGCAGCAAGATTGAATTCTGAGCTGCTACCGAGGTCAGAACCAACATGGAGCCTTGAAAAACACACCCCATAATAATCAAACCAGTTGTCCTTTAGAACAACTATTTTGTGGAGGGAGCAGTAGGCTCTGCGGACAAGTCGGCCAGATGTACTTCCTCAGCCTAGGGCCTATATGACTCGCTTGGGCACTTAGAATTTAGGGTTTCGGGTTTTATGGTTTAGAGTGTAAGGTCTAGGGTTAAATCATAAGACATTGCTCCTTGAGAAACGAGGGAGATCTCTTCAGAATGTCATGCGCTTCATGTACAAAATGTTTTTCCTCAAACTTGCTTCGTGGCCACACGGGCAGAGAAGAATTCATATGAGAGAGA